TTTCTACAATTGTAATGTTATTAGATCAAATGGGCAGCGAAATACCGATAAACGAACAGATATGTACTTTGTTGTTCTTCAGAAGAATGGTGGTTTATACGGTGCAATTCGGCAATTTATCGAGTGTTAGAAGAAAGAGAATAGGAAAAATGTTTATGTTGATGATGACTGTTTTCTGGGATGTTGAGACGTGTTGTCTGTTAGAAATTTACCTACGTTTGGTGCGTCAATCATAAGAACGATAAATCGTCCTGATGATGGGAGCAGCACGAGCTCTAAAACGTTGTAAACTACTACAAGATTACACGGCGCATAATACCAGTAAACAGTCGTCTTCAAACTCACCGCCGTGAAAACCTCAAATCCTACATTTTTTGAGAGGATATTACAGTTCTTTCTATATTCCTTACTTTCATTTCTTCTTTCTTTTTTATTCATTCTTTGTTTCCTATTACCTCTGTTAGAATGTGTCGGATGTATGCATTGTTGCTGAAGAAACTATGAATGGGGCCACTAATATTCTTCTAATGTCTGTAGTATGGATTTTTTTTTTTTTTTAGTGTTCTGTCTGACGACAGGTCCGTATGAACAGGATCCTTCCATCCTTTTCTCGGACTGGGACCTGTTCATATACGTTCTTGGCAGATGATCCAGAAGTGGTTTGCCATTGCCTTCTTCTGTGTGTGAATGGAGTAATTGTTGGGATGCCACGGAGAAACCGGGGAAGCCCCCGGAGGAAAACTCCGTGTTGCCTAGACCACGACCTTGCCCAACACAAGTTATAAATTCGGGCACCGTCGGGAATCGAACCCGAGACCCCAGGATTACAAGGCAAGCGTTCTAACCGCTCGCTCAAATAATGACTAATCACGAAAAAAAATTACTGGGGGATTCGTATGTCATTCACACTGGAGGTAAAGTGAAGACAAGATAATAAACTATTCCAGGGACAGTTTCCCAATAAAGTGAAGACAAAATAAACTATTCCAGGGACAGTTTCCCATTAAACCAAAGTCACCAGCTTTTCTTGTAAGCCTACGCGTGTGTTCATCCATTTCGACCACTTTCTTGTAAACGCATAGGTCTGCCAGACTTACAAACTGCAACTGGCAGGAGTGTATTTTGTACATAAAAAATACATTAACCAGACATCTGTAAATGTAACTTGGATATTTTATAGCTTAGCGATGTCCCATATTTATAAAACATATTTTGTCTGAGGCTTTGTTCAAACCCACGAATAATCAATAAAACGTCATAGACGACTAGGTCTTGGTAAAATACGAGAAATATCTTCAAATATGTCGTTCCAACATCCGACCTCCTTAAGATATTGTGAAATACAAAACTGCAAATTTTCACATTTTCCGCACCGAAACGAATCACGCGTTCAGAGTCCGAGCACCTCCTAGGCTTTGGTCACTAATTTCGTCATCCACTATTTAAATCAGAAGGGCAGGAAACCAGCCAAACTGAAAGTGTACCGAGAGCGAGTGTGTGACCCACTCTGATAGATCACAGAAACCACTTTCCCTCCTAGGTCACCCACGACGACCGTATTCCGAAACCGAGGTCTATGTAGTCACAAGTTGCTCCAAAACCTAACTTTTGTGTTGTTTGCGTACAGCGACGCAAAATCTGGTTGACGATGCAAATAAAAGCCATCCATTCCGAGAATAGTCGGCGGGGTTAGTTTGTAAATATGGATCTGCGTGTTCAGATTGACGAGACTCAATAATCCGAGAAAAAATATATTCGTTATGACTACCGTAAGAAGCAAAGTGACCAAACAGAAAGTCTTTTAAAATTAAATTATTTGGTTATTCCGTCAAATCACAATGTATTTAAAATAAGATAATTAAAATAATTAAAATATCATTCTGTGTTCCATATCGAATAATCGATTTTACAATT